TTTAACATGGATGTTCACTGCCCAGGTACAAATGATGTGCCCACTAAAAGCCTTTGCTTCAAAACATGAGTTGAAATTATAGAGCATATGTTTTAAATTCAAGCTTTTCCATTTCCCCCTTAGGTAGTCAACCAGATGTCATTCTGTGGCCAGACCATCAGCATTCTTGTGGACATACATGGATCCAGGCAAGTTTGTTTATAAATGGACAATTTTATTCAAATCAAAGCATTTTATAACTTTCTTTTTATTTTGCAGGCTCCTAGTTAGCTGCTGAAGTTTTGCATAAAATGGGCAAATCAAGGTAGTGTACCTCACATCTTCTCCATGGGCCTGGACCACAGTTGTGAAGTACACAACCTTGATAAACCCCCAGTAGGGATTTCACATCTTATGCCAAAACTCCAGCAGCATGTGAAAAAGTGTACTCCATGTGGGAGATTGTTAGAAAAGCCCTGTATTCAACATTCAATCTTATCAGGGCTTTTTTTTTTTTTTTTAAAAACCTTTTCACCAATAAAGGTATTACATTAAAACTGTCTGGGGTCCTTCACTGTACACCATATTATAAAAGAAAGGTACTCACTGGGGGAGTGCATTTATTTTTACAAGCCCAAAAACACTTAACATTCTATATTACAGTGAAATGAAGCACATCATGAGTAGGTGTGGCTCAGGAGGTAGAGCAGGTCATTTCCCAGCAAAACAAGTATAACAACCTAACTGATTAGCAGAGTGAAAGCACTTATATGGTGTTTTAAGACAGCAGCTGTGAGGTGCATCTTATATCACACTAGGAAGTGGGTCAGATTAGAACAATGGAAAAAAAATCATAATTGCATACAATTCATTAAGTTGCTCAAACCCCATCAACTTGCAGTTGACATCCATATGTAGGAGTAACAGGGGCCCAGAACACTGTCAGTCCTCAAGTCCCATATTCTGTGTCCTATTGAAATACACATGAGATTCATTAAAGGGCTATTGCATTCTATTCAGGTTTCTCAGTATATGATGAAGCTAAACAGAAGTATGAATTGAGAGAAAACTGTCATTAAAACTATTTCTTGCACATCTGATCTTAATTTTCCTAGCCTATGCTTATTAGTCACAATGTAGTAACAGCATCAAACTGGTGGAAAAAGCATAAGTGCAACTGAGAAATTTACAAGTTACTCACCAGAAGTTCAAATTTTATCCATCCTCTACCGTTTATCTGGAAGCAGGTTGTGGGGGCAGCAGTCTAGGCAAAGATGTCCAGACAGCTCCTCCTAGGCCAGCTGAGACATTTTAACAGTTAAAATTCTCCCTACCTTTACCAGCTACAGCATCAAAATGATGAACACAATATAGTTGAATGTCTTATTTTTTTTGAGCAGTGTATAATTACATCTAAAACCACTAATATTTAGTATGAATAAAGAGGGGTTTCACATAAATACTGTACAGCGATAAATGGATTTTATATCTAAGGAATCAGAACCCGGCGATTTAGCATTTATTATTTTTCCTGCTCAAAACCTTCTGAAAGAATGAATCAGATGCTCACCATAGCGCATCATCATGTGTGTCACCTCCTTCCCGATCTCCTCGTCTCTGTAGAAAACAAGGGGAATATAGTGTCCAGATATAAAGAGATGTACAAACCACAGCACTGACTGACTGTAGATATCTGCTCAGCCTTTGATTTGGAATCACTTTTAAGATGAGCACACTGGGCATCACCTGCCATCATGATTTCCAGCTCAGCCGAGGAGGGGTCCGTCGGGAACACGGGGACATCTCCCACCATGCACTGCTCCTCTTCTATACTGGGATCTGCCCATTGCTGCTTCACTTTATCCTATCATAATTTGGATTAAACAAGCTTCTGTTATTTGGACAATGTTATTTATGTAGGCACTGTAAAAATTCTGAATGTTAAAATCTTGTTACTCTAACTTAGAATAAGTTAAAAGTAAAAAGTTCTCAGGTTTATCTTTCCAGCCACTGATCGGTTCAACCAAAGATTCTTTTCTCCGTTTCATTTAGGTAGCTTTCAGAGAAACAAAGGTGTCCAGTTATTCCCATGAAAAAAATCTAAGGCTAAGTCTGACAAGCCTTCAGATTTATAAAAGCTGCTTTAGAGGATGAATAAGAGCACGTTCTGTGTGTACATTTACTGCAGAAGAAGTCTTACTGTCATCATCTTCCCTCCAGCTCCCCTGCATGTCGTGTTCCGGGGGTCAGATGTTGCAGCTCAGGACACTTCATCCATTTATGATACCTGAAGAGTGTAAACAGGTGGATAAAGAGACAGGGACTGTAGGTTTCTCCAGATGCCAAAGGACTGGAGCTGGTTCTGCTGTGCCAGTTCAAGAGAGACTTCAAACTGTCAAAGGATCAAAAGCTTGTATTGACAGCTGGGTCAGATGTGTCACCTTGTGCCAGCCTGGACAAAAAGCTTTCAAATGCTCCATGACAAATGAGACTGATACGATCAAAAGCTCCAGAAAAGCTACTAAATGGAACTTGTGATGACATCGTTTACTCAGCATTATTATTAGTTGCAGACTTATTTAGAAGTCAGAATAAAACGCATCCGCCATGTTTCAACATTGATAGTAAAGAAATGACATTCAAACACTCATCACTAAAGATATCAGCAGAGGAAAGTAAAAAAAGAAGTGACAGGTTATCGTTACCTGGGCACGTGGTTTACATTGGAAGGATCCAACACAACTTTGTGTCTCTCCAGTAGTGTTCTTGTTCATCTCCATGGTGCCAAACCACACACAAACACCAATAGGACCAATAACAATGAACTAAATCCAACCCGTGTACATCCCATTAATATAACAGCTGGATACCGAATCACAAGATGGAGACCATTCTTCCCACGGATGTATTAAGGGGAAAAGGCAGGAGATTTTTCAATGTCTGTATTGCAATAACGTTAATACATTCATCTTTTTATTTTCCACACTGAATGTTGCTCGCCTGGCACACACAGCAAATTAGTTTTTCTTTTCTGGGGTTGCCTCCGCATTCTGGGGTCCACTGCACATGTGCACTAGGGGGCGGTGGGGGCCAGCGGCAGAACTTTCTCAGGCTCCAGCGTTGAAATATCTGCCGTGCACACACCAACAAAGAAAAAAATCACATGCAATTACAAACACGACTTTTAATGTTTAGTCATAATTATGAGATCTGGAAACCAGGATCTTGTAATAGGCTAGAATATATTGGTTTCTCTTCAAGAAGAGTAGTGGTTAGGGCGCAGCGCTCTCACTGCTGCCGCCCAGGTTCGAGTCAGGGTAGCATCAGGAAGGGCATCCAGCATAAAACACGTGCCAAATGTCAACATGCGAATCGTCAGTGTGACAATTCCCTGTGGCGACCCCTAACGGGAAAAAGCCAAAAGTGACATTCATTCATTCGATAGTCACATGAGACCAAGATTGGACAGGGATCTAAATCACACTCACAAAACGATTTATCACGCCCTGACAGGGAACTGAACTCTGACCTGCCCTGGTGTTAACCACCAAGATATCCACCTGCTGTATAGGCACACATTTAGAACTTTTACTGGTTTCGGCTATTGGTTAGCAAGGGAAGGGGTGAGGCACACATTTTAAATGCTTAAAACAGAAACATGGAAATTAACATGGTACCACACAGACGGTCACACAGTAAGACGCACAAACAACAGAAACCCAAACATGCACACACACACACACACAGGTTGGTCTGCCTTCAAAATATATCTGTCCGATGTCAGTAAAAATGATGTATTCTTTTAGAACTTGAACCCATTTAATTTCTGCCTCTCACTTTGGGATTAAGCCTTCCTGTCTTAGGAATGCTCTCACCTTCTTTAGATAATGAAATTAAATTGCCAACTTCAGTTTTCATCTTCCATAATTATTCAGCATTGCATCTCAGCCGCTTCAGCCATTTCTGCTTAGCCTTCAGCTGTTTCAGCAACGGATTTCAGCATTTTCAGGGCAATTCTTCAGCAATCAGCATCCACACACATTTTCTTCAGGAAATGCATTTGTCTAGTTACAAGATAAGATCCTTCAATTGTTTTATTTGGCGAATGCAATGCACTTCTGTAATTTACACTGTGTGAGTAAAATTTTTAGGTCCTTTAAATGCCTAACTTCATATCTACATGGGCACCACTGAGGAACCATAAACAAGTTGTTCAAAATCCAGCAACTCTTGTATTGTTATGACAATATTATGAACATATAGTGTGTTAGCCTTGTATAACCAAAGAGAATGTGTCATTTTCATCAGGTCTGCTTGTGTCTCAGAGCAACACATTTGATTTCCTTGTGTTAAAATCCGCATGTGTATTCAACAATGCAGTGGAACAAATTTCTCCAGCTAACTGAATTCGATGGCAGTACTGAAGATGACACATTCCTCGTTAACATTTGCTCTTAACCATCTTCAGCATCTCACCATACATTAACACTTTCAGACATGTCCGCCACACAAAGCAGAGCTGTGCTTTTACAATGCATATTGTAAATCCACACGGGTCATCGCCTTTTCCCGGGTCTGTCCAAAAACAGATGCATCCATTCATGCATCAGAACCCTGTCAGCAGTCCTCCTGTGACAGCAGAGCACGATTGGTCACAGACCTGTCCATAGATACCTGTTTTTTTCCTGTGACAAAGTCCAGATACATTTAAAAAATAGAAACTGTTTCCATCTCCTGTAGATTGACCAAAACCTTTTAACAGACCGGACCTCACACCTTTGCCAGGCTGTCACACCTAAAGCATAACGAATGAAAAGATGAAGCGTCTCCTACCAACATGAGGTATGTACCACTTGCAAAAAGTGACATCTACTCATATGAGATGATTTATAGCATTAATATTAAAACAAAGTACAATAGTCCAAGCCTAATACGTAATGTAGGTCCTTGTTTGACAAAAGAAACCAATGAGCAGTCATCTTAATCTTGTTTGAAATTTAAAATTTCATTTCTAAATCTTAACAAAATTGTCTAATCTGAATAATATAAGTATTGTAAATACCACCATCTGGTCTCTTTGAGGCAAACCTTTGTCATTAGCCCCAGTTTGCCAGTTGTGTGTTACATATACTCCAGTAATACAAATAATCCTTCATTAAGTTGTGAAATTGAGACTTGCCGAACGTTTAACCCTGTACCATTGCTTCATAACACATATCCAAAATCTGAAGGCATTTCCTGAATTGTCAAACTCTTCTAATGATGTGGAATCCAAAAACTGTCGGTTCTAGTCCGTATAATTTTTGTCAGTTTCTTCTGTAAACCAACTTCTTTTCAGCTAAGCAAAGATGGCAACAGGAAACTCTCCCCTCTTTTTTTTTTTTTTTTTTTTTTGAGCCGATGGCCGAGCTGCTTTCACTCAAAGCCAGAGTGACGATGTCATGTCCTTCTGCCATGTCTGTGTAAACGGATACAGCCGAGAAACCGATTAAAATGCTATTTTTCCTGGACTGGATTATTTCTGACTCCGCATCATTAGATGTTCGGAGGTTCGGGAAATGCCTTCAGAGTTTGGGTGAGGGTTATGAAAGTGTTGCACTGAAGTGCATACAGACGTACAGGTGGTCATAATGTTATGCCTGATCGGTGTATGTTTGACTTGCCTCAAAGACGACACGGCCTAGTGTGTGGTCGTTTACATACCTTTTGATTACAACTTGTCATGACCAGCACCTGCTCTTAGGCGTGTTCACGCTACTTTGAGTACCTACTGATAAAAATATGGCATAGAAATAAGAGCAAAGCACTGCAAGTGGACAAACACACATCCACCTTAAATCATCTGAGAGAAAAGTCTTAACACTTAATTTTTCTTTTACATCAAGGAATGTTCAAAGACAAAACTTTTCATTTTTAGTGTTTTACTGCATCTTCAGTGTCTCTTCACTGTACACCTTCTGAAGCCAGGGGGCCTGTTCAGTGATTTTCAGATGAGCGAAGTTTGTGTGATTGGGCAAATGTGAAGCGAGAAATACCGTGTCTCCTTGCTGGTTTGTCCTTCCTGTGGTGCAGTGGTGGAACCCTCTCTGACGGCAGTGGCTGCACAACACATCTGCTCTGAGTCATGATTCACAAAAAAGATTAAGTGTGATTTTTGTGACAGACGGGGGCCAGACTGGACCTTTCCCCACAGTTGTTTGACACATAAAAATGGCTCTCTTTCTCTCTCACCCTCTCCCCCAGGTTTGGAGTTTGTCCATGGAGGCCAGGGAAACAAGGCCTCTTATTGGTCAGAGAGCAGCAGCAGGGTGGGCAGCAGCCATCCGAGGCCCAGCAGCAGGGACAGGCAAACAGGCTCGGCTCCACGGTCCAACAAGCCCGGAGAAGGCAGAGTGGGGTCGCTCTCGGCACCCCACAGTCTGTCGTTCTCATTCACCTAAAAGAAAACAGACATGTTGCAATTATTCATCTTTACCCCCCCCATCAGAAATAAAAAGAAAATCCTGCCTCCAGATTGAACATCTTTACAGTGTAAGCAGTAGAAAAAGGATTCAGGGGAGAACTTTTATGATGAGCACCTTACATGGGTTTAATGGCCAAAGTTTCCACAGTTGAAAAATAAGATGAGAACGGTGAAAACATCACTTATCAGCAGACGCAATTTCACTGTCAGTATATTCAGAATATACACTTCAGTCAGTGGTGCTCCATCTCCAGATTATCCCCTCCTCCTCCTCCTCGTCCCATCTTTCACACTAAAACCTCTTTAACCAATCAGACGTCGCCGGCACCTCTTTTCCATTTCCTTTTGTTTTCTTTGTTTACAGACGTTTGTAATATTACACTGTCATTACTCGCACTCTAAGTTACAGTGAGTAATTTGGGACAGAAGTTTGTGCGCAGTACACTCAGTTGGCAGTTTATTAGGTACACCAGGCTAAAACTAAGGCACATTACACACCAGTCCACTCTTCATGAAGGTGATCTGTTTACAGAGAGGTCCAACTGTAGGATCTGTTTGTGCTGCTGTTAAACTGTACGGCGTTATACTGACAGGTGCTTTGTTCTTTAGCCAGGCCTCATAATATAAATGGGGTTAGCAAAATAATAGAAACACAGTGTAATGCAGTTCAGTTCAACAGCAGCACAAATGCCAACCTACAAATTGATCATCCAGCTGAATCAGCACCTCTGAAAGTGAACACGAGTATTTTGTGTGTAAGATTTGAGTTGTGCTACTGAATAGTTAACTGGAAACCGGTAACACATTTAATTAGTTAAAACAAATCCAGATGTAAAGACAGAAAACTATATATAATGCCTTAGCACAGCAAATTAAGTTAGCCAGGCTTTGTTCATCTGGTGGCTACTGACAAGGCCAGATTTGATTGAAATTCACAGCAACATCTGCAGTATTAATTACATTTTTGTCAATTTATCAGACAGTTCTTTTAATGTGTCAGGATGTTGCTGAAGCCTTTGTCTGATGATACGACTCCGAGGCAGCTGTCTCGAGCTAATTTACTGGTTTAATGAACTCAAACTGGTGTTGACTCGGCCGAGTTGATACTTGGTCATCAAGTGACAAAATGTCCATGTTAACAACATGTCACTCTCCTGTTTACGTTATCTCTGTACCAATATTTGGAGTCTACTGCAGTCAGAAGATGATACAGACTGTTGAAACCGGTGTGTGTGGGGGGGTGTCTAGGAGTTCAGAAGACGAGGTCAGAATGCGTTTGGTCCTTTTGTGCTGCTGTCCCTCTGGAACCAATCACGTGGTCTAGTTATTTATTTAGCTTGTGATGTTTATATCTGTTGACAGAGTTTCCATTATGTTATCTACAGGATATTTTGGTTTCCATTAGAAACCAACACATGGGGCAACTTTTCCTCAGCCTGGATTAAATTACCTTATTTACAAATTTCTCCTCATCATTAAAATTTGAAATACTGTTTGTACATTTAATGCAAAACAGGCTGTTCACTTTAAAACATATGCTAGCTCATTGTTTACCCTACTGCTTCATTGTATGGGCTGTATTAATGATGTTTACAGAACCTGTTTACATCGTTGATGAAGCAGTTATATGAAGGATTTATAATCATGGTGCAGGTAACACGTATATGGAACGATGCCATCCTTACATGTTTGATCTCTAGTCATTCTATATTTTCCTCTTCAGTAAATTCTATGAGCTCATAACAGTCTAGATTCTGGTTCCCTGGTTATTGTAATTTTAACTCTTTTATTGTGTTTATGCTTTGTGTACTGAATCTTTGTACTGCTGCAGTTATAACAACCTTACTAAAACCAATAAAGTTACAGAAGCAAGAAAGATTAAGTGAACTCTTAGGAATTATCTGTGTTTATGGATAGATTTGTCTTAACATATAGGCCCTAGTCAGAACATCATCTACTTTTATGCACAATCCATTTTAACTGATAACACACAATGCAGGTTGGAAAGTAGGTGAACCCTCAGGCTAATCAGCAGGAGCTAACTGGAGTTTGGAGTCCCATCACTGGGTAAATCTCATTTCTCTTAAACTGATCATCCCCTCAATCGTCACACTACTAGAGACCATCCTTCATGGAGGTCTTTAATGGACTGAAACTCCTTTAACTGAAATCAGGGAATGGACACTTCAGGTGAAGGATCAGACGAAAGGATGTCTTTATTTGCATCTTTTCCTCACATCTTATGTTGGTGGGACTAAGGAAACGATGCAAGTGAGGGAAACATGGATGCACTTAAGGGAAATGGGATTTACCCACTGAAGCCAGATGATTTCCCAGGCACAACTTGGATGTAAAAAAAAAAAAAAACACAACCTAGAGTGAGCCGGATAACATTTGTTCATGAATGTGCCACACACAAGTCATGGCGCATGGAACATGGAGACTGTGCAGAAAAAAAAAAACACCAATTTCACTGCACACCAACATGAAAACATCATCCCAATCTGACAGGACAATGTCAGAGTGGCTCTCAGCTGGCTGAAACTGAAGCAGAAGCAGGGCGACGACTCTAATCCTGGTCTGATCTACTACCAGAGGTGCCTGGTCCAAGTTATTGCTACCAAAGGGCGTTTGAACAGTTACTAGGTCCAAGGGTTCACTTACTCTCCACCAGCACTGTGAATCTCTTATGAATGTGCTCTATAAAGACATGAAAGATTGTAACCATTAGTATTTTATCTTAAGAACACTGGGTCTGCCTTAAAATCAAATCCCATTTAATGAGCAATTAATACAGAAAACCAGGCAGTTCCAAAGGGCTCACATACCTTTTCTTGCCACTGTACATCCAATCTGAAAGCTTCAAAACCTCCTTCTTTCATTCAAACATCCCTACATGACAAAACACTCAGTAGGTTAGTTGTTAGTGAGTAGGGCCCCATTTGCCTTATTTTCACTTGTATTTCTAGTGAAATTTACTAATGAAAGACTACCACCTTGGCTTTTTCTAAACAGCCTGCCTCATTTCATCTTCAGTTCAGTGTTTTGATAAGCACATTTGGGGGGGTTAAGCAGATTTCATTGCCAAAAAACGTTATCTTAGCATCAAATAAAGTCGACACCAGCTTGAGTTAACTGAAGCATTGGAGCCTGGGATTTGTTTGTGTAGACCTAAATATTGAAGGGTCCGAGCATTTGCAGATGCAGCACCCAAACTGTGGAATACTTTGCCTATTTATATTAGATCGATCGTGAATTCAGCAGTTTTTAAATTGGGGTTAAAGAGCTGTCTGAAGTGCTACAACAAAGTTGATTTCACTCTTGATGGCTCTCCATAATCTATTGTGGCTTGGTTTGTCACTTTACAGTAAAGCATCAGCCAAATTAAGGAAAATTACATAATTAAAATTTAAATTAAATTCTATAAACATGCTACAACTACAGTTTGGACACTCAAATATACCGACTGTACCCAACGCTCTCCCTCAAATTATCTGCAACCATAAGACCCAGTTCTGAGCAAGGCCCCATTAGTGCCTCTCTGTCTGGAAAAGGCTGTGCATCACATTTTCAGTCTTCCATCTCGTCTCACCTGAGTAGGTATCTGTGCTCGCAGAATGTTCTGCTCCGTTTCCATGGAAACGCCTGGAGCAGTGGTTGCCAAGTGTGGACTCTGATTATCCGCTGCTGGACTGGACATCCCAGGCTGGCTGGCGCTCGTTTTCACGTCCGATCCATTCCCGAAGGCCAGAATAGCATTTCCTAGAACACAAGAGCAGCAGAGATGGGTTTTTAAAATAAAATGACTGGCAGCTTAATAGATGACATTCTGGTCATCTGGGTGCTAAATGAAAAACTTTGCTCATTTTCACATCATTCATCATCTCTAGCTTCCTTTTGCTTCTCTCCTGCGTGACAGTAATGAGATTAATGACTTAATAATTATGTTCTGGGGGGCAGCAACTACGTGGTGTGGTCATGGCATGTGATGACAACTCAGCCTTTCAGAATGAGTCGTCAGGCGATTGAGTGACTCTCTCTTCTGAACCATTCATTTGGCAAGATTTCTAAATAAAGCTATACCTGCCTCATCAGCCAGCATTACTAAGTGGTACTGAAAGACAAGAGGTCATCAAGGTTTGATTTATTAAACCGAAGAGAAAGTCTGTACAATTTTATGCTCACAGGAAGCGAGTGGTTGAAGAGAGAAATACTGTCATTGAAATAGCAATGAATGATCCACCCACACAAAGCAGATCCCTGAATAACAGAAGCTCAGATTTTTTCAAACTGGCACCCGGAGTTGCCTTTCTGGGCCACCACAGGCATAAGCTGCCGCCTGAAAGTGTGTTACATGTTATTCATATGCCTGGGGAGCAAGTTAAAATATGGTTTTCTGGAGGCACAACATACTGCAGTCTGCAGTTCTGAGCACTGCTGCCATTACACCAGAGAGAGAGGAGGGTGGTGTGAGCAGAGATTTACCTTCCCAAGTATAAAATGGAAAAAGGAAACAATAACAACTGTTGTGGAAAATTATTTGTTTATATCTAAGGGTCAGCAGCTCTCTAGAGAATTAAAATATTCACTGTTGATAAATCATCTCACTTTAATACACACCAGCATGGGGAGAAGACCACCTCAGCCATTTTGGCTCCAATTTGTGCATCCGAGTGGCTCCTTCTCCATAACAGAGGCTCATAGAAATCATATTTTGAGCCGTCCATTATGCCAAAATAAGGACAAAACTTGTTTTCCCCTTTTAAATAATTAAAACCGGTGTGCATAATAAATACTGTATATATGACCAATACATTATCGAAGGGAGCCCTGCACGTCAGTGTTAAGCAACATTAAGGATATTGTTCAAATATAAATCTGAACTGGGAAAACAGAAGTGGAAACCAGTGGAACCAATGTCGGGCTCCTCACACAACTGCTTGGACAAACCACAGATTTATGATTAACTGACATGTTCTCAAACAGTTTGACAAATGTGGGTGTGATGAACTTCCCCACCTCCAATAACATAGCACACAGCTCCTTTTCTAAACATTTCTACTGGAAGCAAATGGGGACTGGAGAGATTAATGGAGTGTGTGAGAGAGCGTAGCTGTGAATGTAAGAGGGTAATAGTCACATGGGAACCCATAACAGTGTATGTCTGATATTATAATGGCATCTGAGAACGAGTACTATGGCAGTACAAGGCATTTTTGTTAAACAATGTACTTGGACTCAGCTAGGAGCTTAATTTGAAAAGCTCAGGTATGTGAGCTCACTTTATTGAAAGAACAATGAGATTTTTTTTTTATACCCCTTCCCACCTGATTAAGTGCGAGTTTGTCTCTACTAGGTTGTGTGAATCTTCACGCCACCTTGACAAATGGCACACTGGTTGAAAACGTTAATTCCAGCTGTACAAAGCATTTTTGCTCATTTGTGAGGAAGGACACACGTCCAAATGCTAAAAACACAACACTATTTTCACAATAAGATTCCAATGTACAAAATGCATCCAAGTCCAATAAACACACTGTGATGGAGAAAGAATCCAAAGACTTACATTACCTGTCACCTAAGCCCTTTTCAGACATGACCTGGAAACCTGAAATTCTTTAGACATAACCCTGGGAAGCCATATGTGATAAAGCAAACTCCTGAGTCAGTCCACCCGGACCTTGAGCGGACTTTACTCTGCCAGCTCCCTAGTACAAAGTCTGCATAAGGTCCAAGTGAAGCGTATAGTCTGGAGTAGTGTGTGTGTGTGTGTTGGTGACGTTATATCATGTGCCTGGCGCAAAACCAGAAAAATCTAAACATCCGATGGTGAAGAGAAATGGTCATTTACAATGAAGACAACAATGAAAATATCAAACTGCAGATATGACGAGATTCAGGAATTTGTGTTGTTAAGAGCCGGCGCCAGAATCATCAAGACAAATTTAAGGTACAGCAAAAGATTTGGTTGTTTCTGAACAAATTACAAACTGGCTACGTACACTGTACTTAAAGAACAGCTTGAACAATATTCTTTAACGAGGATCTTGGTTTTCTATCTTGACACACACACACTAGCATATTGTTCTTAGCAACCCACACACACTTGCAATCGAATCCATTAACCAGCTGACTAGTGAGTTAACAAGTCCAGAAGGTACTTGGTACAATTTCATGCCATGTGCAATTTATAATCGAGATGAAAGTTACATATGCACAGCGTCTGATTTATACACAATGACAGATTTAAAAGGTCAAAATTATATGAACTATGCTGCAGAATTCTCTTATTTTCCTGTGCTTTCATTCAATCAGTGAAAACCAAGGACATACAGTCTGAGATCCTCTCAACCCAGCAGAAATCTCTCCTCAATGAAATAGCAACACACAGGGTCACGGGCAGTGGAGCGCTGACGTGCACAAACCGCCGCTATCTGCTAAAAGTCCTTCACTGCAGTAATGAAAAGTGGAAATTAATCATATCGTTATGAAATCCAAATAATTCATTGAAATACACGAGTGCACTAGATGAGAGAATTTTACACAATCACATTATGAAAGCGGTAGTTGCTGATTGGATGGCACAAGAGAGCTCGCTAACTGGTCGGTGCTGCTCCCGTCATCCTCGTTACACTGGAGGAGAAAGCGGAGAGTTGATGCTGCAGTATTTCTCTAGTACTGACAGCAGGATAAAACAATCATCAGTGGCACCTGAACAAGTTGACTGTGTTCTGAAAATGGCTGACTTCCCTACTCGTGGCTGGTAAACATACAGTCTCGGAGTAATGACTGAACACAGGAGCGCTCAGCTAGCCACAGCAGCACGACAGCTGAGTCATAACATCCGATCACCAAACAATGGTAATGTTAAATAGATTTTGCTTTGCCAGGAAGCAGCAGCAGTGAACAATTATGTTCAACAAAAGCATCAAAATTAAAGTCATGTCATCTGCTGCTGCCTGCAGCATTCTGTGAAATCACATCCTATCTTTCTGCTGTCAGTTCAAAACCTTTCCAGAGCTGATTTAATCTACATTCTGACAGCACCATTAGGTTACACTCAAACTTCTAGAGCATGTTTGATGGATGTGATGGCTCAGTGGGTGGTACAGCTCAAAGGCAATCCAAATGCTGTGGTACAGCAGGTGGGAGCCTCCATCTCTCTCATTACTGTTTGACAAAAATTAAATGTCAACAGTAAAATATTTGACAATTTCCAAGTTGTTCCTTGGAGAAGGTGGTGTTGTTACTGGTCAGTTCTCCGGCTACCATTACTGCACACTACTGAATGTAACAAAGAATCTTAATAAGTAGTGTGCTTCAGTACAATTTTGAAGTATCGGTACTTTACTTGAGTATTTCAATTTTAGCCACAGTTGCCACTTAACTTTTAGGTTGATTTGAGAACTTCAGCAAATAGTTGGCATGTTATACTTTCAGTAGATACAAAGCAACATTAGTGTTCATTTGGAATCGTGTCCAGACACTGAATAGGTCCGACATTCACTGTCCTTTCAGCTCTGTTTTGATCTCCGGTAACTCCTGAGAAACATATCTGGCTCTTTAGCTGCAAAATGCTCCGGTATACAAGCTAACTAGCAAGCAAGCTAACTTTGTCTGCCATTCGGTGCTAACGTGCATCAGAACAAACCAGAACAGTAAAGCTGCTGGCTGGAAAACCAACACAATTAGCTGAAAGAACTCTATGAAGCTCTGTAGAGCTTTGGGAAACGGCAGCATCAGGGATAATTCTCTGTGGGTTCACCACAACAAGTGATCCCACATTAGACAGTCATCTGATCCATTCTGAATACAAACATAACCCACAAATGCCTATTAGCCTGGTTTGGAGCAGCAGTACGTGGCCACCTTCAGCAAACAAGCTGTGATAAATCTACTACACATGGGTGACAAGTTCAACTGACAACAGACATTTTAATGCTGTGTCTCCAGAACAGCTTCAGGGCTCCTCTGCTGGAGGAAGGAAACCTCATACTCTACTTCCATAACACATTCCCTCATTGTGTCCAACACACCAGTTCATCCTCACTAAGCCATTCAGTAACCTGGACCTCCAACCATTAGTCATTTCACTGACCAGTAACTAACCAATTAACCAGCAACTATTCAGAAGCAACAATTAGCAACACGTTCTGGCCGACATTCTTTATTGTTAGGAACTGATGCATGATAATGAACTGAGTATCTTTGAATTTGTTGGTTGGACACAACAGGACATTTGAAGACACCACCTTTGACTCTGGAAAGTCACAATGGGCATTTCTCCCAGTGTCTGACATTCTGCAAATAAAAAGGTAAACCAAGAAAATAACTTTTTCCATGAATTTGATCTGTATAAGCTACACTGGTTGAAACCTAACAACTAGCTAGTACAGACTATGGGATATTTAGCAGCTAAAGAGCCAGAAATTATATGTTAATGTTGTGTTTTTAGCATATTATGCTGCCCCAAAAAGGTATTCATGGAAGTTACAATGCGAGGCATTTTCTTGTCTGTGTACATTGTGCCACTACTCAAATATGCCAACATTCAACATGAGTCAGGAAAAAAAGAGACAAGTACCAGGGTTGATTTAATTCCAGCCAAACCTTGGCTATACATGCTCTAGGATGTGCATTCTAGCAAGTGGGTTTACACAAACTACAGGGTCTCGTTCAGTGTTGTTAAGCTGTTGAAACAGTTGCATATTTACAATAATAACTGCCCAAGATTTTCTCTCTTTTGCAGATGTAAAAAGAAC